GCCCGAACTATCTGCTCCACTCCAAGGCCCACCCTGCCCCTGCAGCCACATCTTTCAGTCCATTTGGCATGGCAGAGCCCAGTCAGGACAGCAGGATTTAATGCCCAGGATGGGCAGCCACACTGGGCCCTCTGCTCTGGGAGATGTCTCGAGGAGCAGCATTCTTAACACTGGAAAACACAAGGCCTGGGAGAGCCTCACTTATCAGAGACTGCAGAGTCCTGGCCAGCCTCCACCTCACTAAGAAGAATCCAAATTTTTCTTTCGCTCCAATGTGTGTAGTGGTCCTTCACTCAGTATACCGATGTTAAGAAACATGTCTGACTGAGAAGCTGATCTTCACAGGAAGTGATGGGAGAGGGACAGCTGAAGCCCATGTTGACCTAGCCATGGCTTTCTTGAAGGCGGCTGCTCAGACCCAGAAGCCACAGCCACTGCCTGCCCACGGGCTCCAGATGCACTGACCCTTGCAGTGACCTGCGCCACAGTAAGCCATCCTGGCCCCAACAGGCAGAGCCTCTTGTTTAGGGCCACACAGCAACTCAGGGCCCAGGCTGGGTCCAATCCCTCCCTGAAATCAGTGTGGAAACCAAAGCCCTAGACAGCACATGCAGTATCTTGCCTGCCCAAGCAGTGCCGCTTTCAGGCCACAGGCTCTTGGACCTGGCCTCTCTCCCATCCTACTTGCAGGAAAGCTCTGTCACAATATGCCAGCTCTGAATCTAAGGCCATGCCCCAGGGATGTTGAGGTGCAGCTGCTTGTCCCTCAGGCCCATGGAAGGAAACAACTCAGGTGATGCAGAAGTCTCCAGTGTTTTAAAAGTAGAAGAGTCCTTAATATTGATTCACAACCCCCACCCAACACACACTATGCCCATGGGACAGAGGGGAGTGCCCACAGTAGGCCCTGGGGTCATCGCTTCTGGGCACCTATAGCTGCCTCTCCTGGCTGTCGACCCCTGGGGGCAGGGCTACCTTAGCACCTTCAGGATTCCCTGGACCCCAGCTTCCATCCCAAGTCAGGCCTCTTCATGCTAACAACAGAACACTGCGCACCTCAACTCCGAAAGGCCCTGGGACTACCAGAGCCTCCCAGGGCACAATGGTTCCGTGCTCAAGTGCTAGGCTGGTATCAGAGGAGCAAGAGAAGCCCTACAGGCTTAACCAAAATCAGGACTCTTCCTGCCTGGAAGCAAACACTTGAGGACGCTGGGCCTCACACAGAGGCCTCCAATTACCCATCCCTCCTTAGCAGGTGCCTGCCCTCTCAAGACAGGCTGCCTGGGCTCACAGCCCTCAGTGAAATATAGCTTATCTGCATCTCAGTTTCCCCAGCTGTACAATGGACATAAGAAATTGGAGACCCGAGGGTTGGTGTGAGGGCTGTAGAAGTCAGTGGGGCCTAAGGAGGCTACAGCAGGAGTTCAGCTTTAGGAGTGAGGCCGAGGGGCAGCCCTCACATCATCCTCCTCCATCAGATTAAACTGGCTCATGGCCATGAATCCGGCAAATATCCTGGTGCCAAAGACCCCTTCCCTTTCTGAGCCACTGGGCTTTCCTAATCACTCCCACTCATCCCTACCTCGGTCTCCCCATCCTATAGGAGAGGAGGTTATAAGAGGAATAGAAGAGAGGGAGCAAGTAGGACAGAGCAGCTGTTCCCACCAGCTCTGCCTCGGCCTTTCATGTGGTCACTGAGCCTGCAGGATAGGAGGGACACCTGGGCATTGAGAGCTGGGCTCAGGCAAGTCCAGAGACGATGGCAGAGGAGACTTAGAAGCCTCAGATGGCGAAGGCAGAGCAGGCTGAGCCAAGCTGGAGGCCCCAGTGAGCAAGCTTGGGCCGCCCTCACAGATGCAGTGAGGCTACTCCAGACCTCCCCAGGACTAGGAGCAGAGTCCAGGTGGCTGTGGGAAAGGATCCAGGCCTCAGAGAGGTAGAGGGAAGGAACTGAGGACAGCAGCCAGGAGACACTTACAAAGTAAGCACTTCCTGTGTGATAGGAACCATGCCCAGCTCTTGACATGCCACAGCTCACTGAACTGCACCCACTGCTTCCCCGAGATGTACATAACACCATACAGACAAGATCCTGAGGTGGCACAGAGGCAGAGAGAGCGTCCAGACCCATCTTCCCACTCTCTCTGGGAGCCAAGAGATGGTGGGGCTGAGACTGCCTAAGGACCTTGGCCCCTGGCCTGAGGCATGCCCTCCAACCCTAACATCCCCCACCCATGAGGACCACCCACTTATGGCACCTGTCTAAGCCCACCAGGCAGGAGTTGCCATCCCAGCACACCTGCTTCCTTAAAGCTGCAGCTGAGGACACGGTGCAAGATGTCCCATGGCCATTCAGGGCAGTAAACACATGCTGACCAAAGTCCATCTGATTCTCTTCCCCACCATGGTGGGGAAGGGGCTCAGTGGGACTTAGGACAGATAGGACCCTTATTAAGCCAGGCTCAATCACTAGCAAAATGATTAGGCAAAATTGGCCAGGCGGTACCACCCTCCGCAAACATATACTATGGTGTCAGCAAGACACAAGACAAGGACATGTGCGCGCACACACACTCATCATGTGAGAAAGGCTGCAGAGCCAGCCAGTACTGCCTCCCACTGGCCCACCATGGGACCCTCCTCAACTAAAGGCACAAACCGACTCACCTAGGCCTGGCCATCCAGCTCCCCGCACCCCAAGACAGTATTATCTACAAATGCTGGGCAGAAGTACAGGCAACCCCATTTGCAGCATAATTTGTTAGTAACTGAACCCACTTTAATTCAATAGTTTTAAAAGAATGAAAATGGTTCACCTCTCTACAAGAGAAAAAAAAAAGACCCACAATACTATCTATTTAAATCTTTATTTTTAAAATAAGAGTTAATATTTTCAAGTATGACATTAGCCAAAACTAAATAGGTTGACAATAGCCTGTGCTGGCATGGGTGTAAATGAACTAGTGCAAGCTTTCTAACATCCACTGAGACTGATGCACATGCCCCTGGCTTCTATCAAAACTTCCCACACACAATGGGGGAAACTAAAGTTCAGAACAGTGGGAGAATGTGTCCAAGACCATGGAGCCAGTGTGTGCAGGAACCAGGAGGTGATATCAAACTAAACAAGCAAGTGCTTGAAGAATATCTGCAGAGACTGACATGCCTTCCTCTTGATTTCCCCAGGACCCACCCTCCACACACACACCCCACAAAAGAGCCAAGATTCTTGCATTGGCCAAAATGTTTGTGTCCACGATAGTAAAGAGCAAACAACTAAAAGGTCCCTGAGTGGCAAACAGTTCCCTCTGTGATGATCAGTCTGGTCCATTCTTACAGCAGACAAGAATGCAGGCTTGTGAACACAGAAGAGGACTATGAGTGCTGTGGGCAGGGGGTGGTAAGCCCCATCCAGGGAGACAGAATGGGGCTGAAGATCCTCGCACTCCATATTCTCACAGCCTCCCAGTCTCCCTCTATTGTGGGTGTATCCCTCACCACCACCCCATACCAAGATGGGGCTCTTGCAGGAGGGGCCATCCCTCTTGCAGATCCAGTGCCAACTGACCTTGGCTCAGCCAAGGCACCAATACCTGACAGATGACAGGTCCGAGGGTCGGTGAGCTGCCGAGTGCCTCTCCTCACCCACCTTGCTTACTGGTGCTAATGCTGAGCACCCACTCTGCCAGTCATGGACTTAAGCACCCATGTGGATTTATTTATTCTCTCCTCCTCGCTTCAGAAGAGGGCTCTACTGGTCTTCCCAGTGAGACATGGAGGCTTTGAATAGTCCAGGCACCTACCTGAGGCCACTGGAAGTGTTAGTGCAACCAGGTAAGCAATGGGGGAAGCAGGTAGCATGGTGGATCCCAAAACCAAGGTCCAAGAGCCCATCAGGATGGGGGAAGAGTCAGGTAAGGAAAAGGCACACTGACAGGCCACACACTGATGACACCTTTTCAAATATAGAACCCCCAAAACGACACTTTTGAATAGGTAATGTTGCAGAGGAAGAAACTAAGGCCCCTGCCGACAACTACATCAGCAAGAGTAGGGCCTAGGTCAAAACCCGAGTGTTCCACCCAGATGGCAATATCTTTCTCCCCAACCCCCACACAGGGCTGGAGAGTCAGGAAAGACCGAGAAAGAATTTGATGTTTAAATCACTAAGAACTACTTCATGGAAAGACTGCCCAACTCTCTCGCTGCCAGGCTCTCAGGCATCCTGGAGATCTGCCCTCCTCAACCCCTAGTGAAAATCACACAGGGCCCCTCTGTGACACACACGGACCTGTCACCAGTCCCAGGGAAGGGCCTGGGAGGGTGGCGAGGACAGGAAGTGGGCGGAAGCAGCACTGCATCCCAAAGTAATCAAGGAGTACTGTCAGAGAGCTGAGCCTGAGAGGGACACTGGAGGATCCCGGCCAGCAGCGACGGGCACATGCAAGGGGAGCCCCTGTCCCAGCCTTTTCCTGGCCTCGGGACAATCACGGAAGACACTGAAACCGCTGAAGGCAGCTGTGCCCAGAGAGAGGAAGTGATCTGCCTGAAAGTGATGCAGGACCAGACCTAGCTTTTCCCTGCATCCATCTCACATCCTCATCTCCCCACACCCGGGAAGCCAAACACCGCAGAGAACAACCCCACCGTGCCCGAGACCCACCATCAGAAACAGACACGGCCCCACAGCAGCCTTGACCCGCAAAGGCAAGGGCTATCTAGTACACACGCAGCCACTACACCTGAGGCCCGTGTCCTCCTCTTCCGGGCGGGGCCTGAGCGGGCCCACCGCCCGTCGTAGCGCCTCCAGGCTGGCCGTTCACCCCAAGCCTGGGCGCCCTGGGGCTGATCAGTAGGTACAGTCCTGGGTCAGGGATCCACCCGGGGATCGGCCTGGCCCAGATGAGAGATTGGCTCTGGGGACCGACCGACCCAAATGAGGGGTCGGGGGCCGGCCAGGAACGCCAGAGGGAGTGGCGGTGGGCACCCACGCTCCTCACCTCCTTCAGCTGCTCCATTTCGCCACGGATGGCCTCGTAGTCCACCTCGAGCTCCTCGAACTGCAGCTTGAGCTGGTGCTTCTCCTCGAGCACCGCCAGCCCGTATTCGGCCGCCTGAATCTTCTCGCGCGTTGTCTCAGCCAGCTCATGCGACAGTCGCTTCACCTCGGAGCGCAGCCACTCGGGCTGCGCCTCCATCACCAGCCGCGCGTACTCCTCTTCCTCGGACGGTACCGACATGGTGGCCGCGGCCCGGCTCGCGTCGCTTCCACCGGGACTCAGGCCGGTAACCCGTCTACTTAGCCACCGCCCAGCCCGACGGCGCCTGGGCCGCCGCGCAGCCGCAGGGCGTTCCCCGCCGCGCGTGGCACTGTGGGTGCCGTAGTCCCGCCTGCGCGACTACAAGGTCCGTTGAGCCATGGGCCCGCCCGCCCCAGCCCATGATTGGCCGGGGCCCTACGACTGGCGGCCTCTTCCCATGCTTCTCCTCGGTCGCTGCCCCCCGGGGCATTGTGGGTGCCGTACTCCCGCCTGTGTACCGACTACAAGGCCCGTCATGCCCCGCGCCCGCTCGCCCACCCTCCGGCCGTGATTGGCCCGCGAGAATCCCCTTCCCCCACGTCGTGGAGCCGGAAGTACTAGTATTTCCGGTGGCCGCTCCCGGGGCCAGTGAGGCGGGGGCGGTTTGTGGTACACTAGGCTGCTGGGGAAGGATCCACCTGTGCACAGTGAGTGAAGATCCGGCTTTGGTTCGTGAGGAGCCCAAACGTCTGGGGGACAGTAACCCAGCAAGTGTCGAGTGGGAAAAATGGTCAACCATTTCTAGTAAACACGTTTGACCAGATCTGTATTTTGAGGGAAATGGCAGCAGACAAAAGCACGCAGATTGAGGATCGCTAGCGGAAGGGGCTCCTTCGCCCCAACGCATTACCAAATGCTCCCAGCGTCTTTCCTAAGAATTAGATATTTTCATGTACAGTCCACTGATCTGATTCAGGACATGCCTACACTGACGCCCCCCTCAACAGCCGCTGTTTCATTCCTGGACCCAACCCTGGATCACGCCTCACATTGCTGTCATGTTTCCTTACTATCCATTTGGGAGACTTTTTTCCTCTTTGTCTTTATGACCTTGACTTTACTGAGGCATACAGGACAGTGATGTACACATCTACAGGACAGAGATGTACACATCGGTGTGTCCCCACGGTTAGATTAGGTTATGCACTTTGGCAAGAATATCACTAGGTGATGCTGAGTTCTCAGCGCGTATTTTGCATTACTCAGATCGCTACTGGCTTTTCCTTTGCATTTATCCTATGAGAAGACACTTTTGAGACTATGCAAATATCCCATCACTCTTCAAACTTTTAACCCACTAGTTTTCATTGATATTTTTTGCCCAAATGAATTACCATACTATTCTATTTCCATCATTCCTTCTTACTAGCTTTATATTATAGAGAAAATATTCCACTCATTCACAGTATAAATCAGTGGATTCTTATTTTACAAAATGAGTTTATAATCTTTTATTCTCATTATTTACTTAGATGCTCAAACAGCAAATTTAGCCCATGGAGACTCCTCCGAACTGGCTTCATATCCTTTAAATAACGTCATAATTTTTGACTACTTCCTTACTTTCTAGCATAAGCTGTTCCAGAATCATCTTGTACTCTGTGTCCCAGACCTGGAATCAGCCATTTCACCAAGGAGTCCTGATTCTTTTTAGTGGTTTAATGTTTCATTTGTATGAGAAGAATCATAATTTTACTTGTGAAATTTTAAGTAGGAAAAGGATGTCCAATTAGCCTGGGGATGTCCTGGTTTTAGCACTGAGAGTCCCAACTCCTGGGAATCCCTCAGGCCTGGGCACATCTTTCAGCCTAAGTGGGAGAGATACTAGGGAAAAGAAGGAAGGAAGAGCAAGCCTTGTTTGAGCAAGCTTAGCATAGGAGGAAGGACTGATGCTTCAAGAATTGGTGGTTTGTCCATGGTCACACAGCCTCAGGAGCAACATCCCCTTCTGACCCAGTTTGGCCAGAACCCCCACCCCCATTCCTTTATATGGGGCTGGCCTGAAGATGGAGGGGAGAAAGGCCATGGGAATTTAGGGCAAGCATTGACCATGGAGCTTTAACTTGGGGACAGGGTGGTGGTAGAAGAGAGACAAACAGAGACTCTTCTAGATGCTAGGGACAGAAAACCTATCACTGCCACTGTGGACTTCCTGTAGACCATCAATGTGAGACCCGTGAAGGAAGAGCCGTGATGTGTGACAGTGTTGGGTGAGGGGCATCAGGGAAGGATGTCTTAATAAGGTGATACCTGAGTGGAGACCCAGAGAACGTAGCCAGTCAGGCCGCCACAATAGGGAAACTGGTTAAGAGAAGCAGAACCACTCTTTGGTCCCACAGGGCCCCTAACATGGATAGCTACCTGACCTACATTATCTCATTGAATCTTCACAACACCCCAAGAGGTGGGAATTAGGCTGTTTCTTTTGACAAATGAGGAAATAGACTCAGCAGAAAATCCTCAGTATTATCCTCCAACTTCTCACACCCCTCATCCGATTCTCAATCTGATGGCAAAGGACAGACCCAGCCTCAGTCTCTTGCCTTCTCAACTGCCCCCTCCATGGCCTGGGCCCATTGCCTCCCACCTAGACTATTGCAGTCATCTTCCCACTGGCTTTCCCCCTGCCCTTAGTGAAGGGGCAGGATACTCACGTACACAGGTGTCCAGGCTGGGGTCTGGCTTGGTTGTGGGCACTTTGGCAGCCTTGCAACTGCCTTCCTTGCTGTTCCTTCAAGAGCTCTGAGTGCCCATGCGAGCCCCTCTTCCTGGAATCTTGTCTCCTTTCTGCCCATGGCTATCCATTTGTGGGCTGAGTTACAAAGCCTTTTCTATTAGGTAACTGTCTGCCCAGGTGTACTTGGCTCAGGTGACAGCACAGTGAATGGCATGGTATCCCCCACATATACATTCTGCATGCCATAGGATGAGTCTTTGGCCCAAATGTCATTCACTCAATAAACTTCTCTGTGCCAGATCTTGGAGCTTCAGATACAATAATTGTGGAAGTAAAGACCCCAGCATACATACTGAGCAATTACCTTGTTCCAAGGCCAATGCCAGACAGTTTGCTTGCACTCACCATCTCTTGTAAGCCTTACAAGTTACAAAGCAGCTATCACTGTTCTCATTTTATAGGTGAGCAAACTGAGGCACATACCTTATATGGGAGAAGCCCAGAATCTGAACCAAGGTGGTTGTGAATCCATAACCTTGCCCCCAGCCTTCCTTGGGGGCAACAGGACACAGGCCTCAGGGGCTTATATGCAGAGGAGAACAGAAATAACTGGCTAACTTGGCTGATGCACCCAGGGCACTCAAGAGCTCTCAAGGGGAAGCACTAGGTCTGGAGAACTCAGGACACATTATGGAGTGGGTGGCAGTGGGCTGGTTTCTGCAGGATGCTCAGTTGTTTGCAGGGCACAGAAGGTAAAGAAGAGC